GTACTGTGCCTAGTTTCATCATGTAGGCTGAAAATGTCTGTTTTCCCCTAGAAGAAATATATTGTGGTGTCACTGTGTTTATATTTCATTGATGGTTGTATGTTAGTGTATTCTCAGTACTCATCACCTGTCTCCTGGTGGGTGTCCTAGAAGCTAGAAGGAAGTCTGAACACAGTTCTCAGTTCATGGTTTGTGTATTTCAGGAAGGGTTCGTGCCAAGGCAAGAAGTTTTAGATATTCTTACAAATAAACTCTACTACTCTGTTAACCACCGTTTTTTCTTTAACGTATATATCTGTAGTGTCCTTACTTAATATTTGTGGATTTGTTTTAGGCAAGTCCTTTATGTTGCACAGGCCCTGGGTTATGTAAATGGCTGAAGTGCTCGGCTGATAACCCAAAGACTGGCAGTTCTAATCTACCTAGAGGATGTTCAGAAGAAAGGTCTGGCAATCTACTATTGAAAAACCACCCATTGAAAACCCTGTATAGCATAGTACTCTGTCACCAGGATCACCAGGAGTCAGAATTGACTAGACAGGAACTGTTTTGTTTGGGGGTTTATTTTGCTTTTATTATGCTGCAGAATTTTTTTAATCTATTGCTATTATTTGAAATTAACAGACGTTAAGTGCATGAAGGCAGAGACTTTGAGCATTTTATTTATTACTGTAGCCCCAGTGTTAAGAATGTTCCTTGGTGAATTATTAGTGCTCCAGAAATATTTATTGAATTAATGGATTAAAAGTCCATGGCTGCATGCATTCCCACTATTTAAAAAAGTGATTTACTTATTATAAGACTTGAACCCTTATGATTCTATTAACTTTGTGTTTGTTTTCAGGCACTTGCTGCTGGAGGAGTAGGGTCCATCGTTCGAGTCTTGACTGCAAGGAAAACCGTGTAATCCAGCAGGAACTGGATATGGGCCAGGTGTGGGAGTTGCTGGTACAAAGACCAAAACAACCAAATGCCACCGCTGCCCTTTGGGTAGCATCTGTGTCTCTCAGCTTTGCCTTCTTGCTTCCTTTTCCGTATCTTTAAATATGAAAATTACATACGCCAGCTTCCCTTTTGTGAAAAATTGGGATAGCATATGGGAAATTTTGTTTCATGCTCTCAAAGCTGTTTCAGTGATGTGTTGTGTATATAGTATAAATCATGGTCAAGTTTAATTGTGCACTTTTTAACTCCTATTGGCTAGATTGTTTTGTTTTTAATGGAATACTGAGAGATTTTATCAGAATCTGAGGCCAGTATTCTAACTCATTGCTAACCAGGCAGTGGTTTTTATAAAAATATATATGAGAGACTGGCAACTATTAATATTGCAAACTGGACCATTATTCCCAATTTAAGCAAAACATGTGTCTGGAACACGTGGTAATTGAGTACCACTACCAACTTACAGCTATGTTTCTGCTTGCTTCCAGATGATCTGTGAGGTTAAGCGTGCTGCTTCCTCTCAGCACCCAGGAATCATGGCTTCTCAATTTCTTAGTGGTCACCCAGGGTCCAGAGCAAGCAAGGGGGCTTGCTCTATACAAATGAATCTGTAAAACAGCTTATATGGTATGAGCATAAAGCTTTTGTTCCAGTAACATGGCCTTATTTGAGTGAACCATAATCAAATTAAAAAGAATGCAAAACTATGATGTACTTCATACTCTGGGCAGCCTCTGAATGAAATGCTATTTTCCTTAGAAATATAGTAGCTGCCTTATACATTATACAATGTAGAACTAGTCTAGTAATCACTATGCCCTACAAATGTTTTCAGTGTTCTTCAGGGTAATTGGGATCTCAAATGATTTGGTTCAAATCCAAACAGATTCACATTCCAGGTTTGATCTCAGTGTTTTTTTAAAAAAAGAAAATGCCACGCATTAAAAAGTGTTTACTTTGTTGGATAAACCAAATCAGTTCTCAAAAATATGACTGGTGCTTATTTCAAAGCTAGTCTTCAGTAGCTCCAAAACAAATCACCTAAATGCACATGACCAGGAGGGGCACCAGCCTGTGTTTAGTATTCACATGGACACCAGTTTCAGGAGACCTGTGATTTGTATGAAACTGGTGCAGAGATTCTGTAAACTCTTGGCTGTTTTTGATACTGCTCTTTTTGTTGTCGTTTTATTTTGTAAAAATGATAAAAGTTAAGGAAATAAAATTTCAGTGTTGAATATTTTATTTTTCTAAAGTTCTTTAATAGTTATGAATGTAAGATTAAGAAGAAAAATTTTCTGACACTACCAAGTTATTATACTCCTGTTGTTATTGTTAAGTACCGTGGAGTTGGTTCCAACTCACAGTGACCCTGCACAGGGTTTCTGAGGCTGTAAATCTTTACGGGAGCAGAAAGCTTCATTGTCTATCCTGCAGAATGGCTGGTAGTTTCGAACTGCCGATCTTGAGGTTAGCAGCCCGATTCGTAACCACTAGTAAGAATTGGATAAAAGGGTTTTTACATTAATTCACACAAATTATTCTTGTATTGAAGTGCCTTCAAATCAGTTCTGACTCATAGTGACTACAAGATAGCCAAGGAGCAGCTGTTGGGTTTGAACTTCTGACCTTGTGGTTCACAGTCCAGTGCTGATCCTACAGCACCATACCAGGACTCCCAATTCATACAGTTGTTGTGAAGTGCCGTCAAGTCAGTTCTGACTTATAGCGACCCTGTATAGGGTTTCCAAGGAGCAGCTAGTGAGCTTGAATCGCCGACCTTGCAGTTCAAATAGCTTTGCAATCTGACCCATTAACCCACAGCGCCACACAAGGTAGTAAAATATTGAGGACAGAGTTGGTAGTGATGTCACAGTGCTAGGAGCATTTGGAGTAGTTCCGTAGACCTTCTGTTGTCTGAGCACCTGTAGTGTTACTGCCAGCTCACAGTGATTTCGCATGTGTCAGAGTGGAATGACTGATTTGTTCCAGGGAAAAAAAAGTATATTGCCAGGCTTTTCTTCCAAGGCACCTCTGGTTGGTTTACAGTTGAGTGCTAGCCATTGTCACCACCCATCGACTCAGACCAAACCTCACTGCCATTGAGTTGAGTTGACTGTGGCCTGATAGGACACAGTAAATCTTTCAAGGCTGTGTTCTTTACAGAAGCACATCTTTCTCCAGCAGATGACTCATGGATTCAAACTGCCAACCTTTTGGTTAGCAGCCAAGTGCTTTAACCACTGTGCCACCTGGAATTTCTACCTAGATATGCCTAAAACACCAAACTCACTGTCATCTAGTTAATTCTAACTTAACAGGAGCAGAAAGCCTCAACTTTTTCCCACGGAGTGAATGGTAGATTCAAACCACCAACTTTTAGGTTAGCAGACAAATGCTTTAACCACTGTCCCACCAGGGAACTTGACTTAGATTGGTGTTGGCTTTATGCTGTGGAATGGGTTCCAACTTACAGTAAACTTGCACAACATTTTTGAGGCTATAAATCTTTATAGGAGCAGAAAGCCTCCTCTTTTTCCCTTGGAGCGGCTGACCATGCAGTTAGCAGCCCAACCTGAAACCCAGTACACCACCACAGCTCTTTTGACCTGGTCTGGGATAGACAAAATAGCCTAGCAGCTTCAACCACTTACCCCAAGCTTATAAAATCCTCTTTTTTGCACCTGAAGTCTGCTTCATATCCTTACCTGTTGTATTAACTTCCTAGGGCTGCTATAACAAACCACCACAAAGTGGATAGCTATAAGGAACAGAAATTCAGTGTCTCAAACGTTTGCATGCTAGAAGCCCAAATCATGTTGATTATGAGGACAGACCGTTCGTTCCATGCCTGTGTCCCAGCTCCTTCTGGTGGCATTTCTTGGCTTTAAAATACATGGCATCTTTCCTCTGCATGTGTCTGTGTCTGCTCTGTTTCTATAAACCATCACTCAGGAGGCATCAGAACATATCCTCGTCTGATATGACCTCATATAAATGTGATAGCATCTTCAAAGAAAGACCCTCTTTCCAAACAAGGTCACATTCACAGTACAAGGGGTTAGGACTTGAACAGATCTTTTGTGGGGGACACATTGAATCCATAATACATACTTACAGCAGCCTCTGATTTTGCATTCTCACATTACCTAACTTGGTTTACACTTTTCAAAGTTTCAAAGCTTACAGACAATTCACAGGACAATTGATAGATGTTAGAGATAGTCAAAGTGGATGTAGCATAACCATGTAAAACTTTAAACAAAAAGTGGTTGGCACACTTTTTCATGAAATCCTTAATATCGCTTTCATGATGGATTAGGAAAATCTTGAAGTTCCATACTCTAGGTACCAGATTAGGTGTGCTTGAAATCTGCAGGCCAACCAGCTTTATTCGTTGGAAACATGAGTACTAACAATGCGAATGAATGCAAGGTGAAAGCACCTGGTTTAGCCTGCATCCTGGTGAAGCATCAGCCCAGGCTATAGTGACCACACACAGTGCAATGTGATGGTGGAAAGTGAAAGAGATGGTCAAGATTCACTTGGCAGGGGAGGGGGTGCAGGAGCAAGTATAAATGTTTAAAGACACTTGTGTCATGTGTTTTTGTTTGTTTGTTTTTTTAAATCTTTCATCTTTCTACTTTAAACTTTGGTTTTATTGTGTTTTTTGCTATCTTTTAAATCAGAGAAAACATGGTAAACATCCCTTGTTGGTTATGAGGTAGCAGCACCATTTATTGGGGCTACTTACTCACTGGTTGCTTTCAACCTAACTGGGGGCTAATACTGAAGCACTTAAAAATTAATGTCATATAGTTTCTCTCTAAATACGGTTAGTGTTGGGGGAACAGGACAGCAAAATCTGGGTGGACTGTAGTTGCTAATTGAGAAAGACTCACTTTAGGTACTAACAGATAGGATAGAATGCCACTCAAGTGACAGAAGGAGGGTAGACAGAAGAGAACCAAAGTTGTAGGTTTGTCGCTTCTTGTTTTAACAGAGTGAAAGTTATTTACTAAAAGGATTTTGTTGTTAAGTGCTGTTGAGATGGTACCAACTCACAGTGACACTGTATATGGTTTCCAAGGAGCAGCTGACGAGTTTGAACCACCGACCTTGCAGTTCAAACAGACCTTGTGGTCCAGTGCTTATCCTATAGCGCTACACCAGGTGTGTGCCGGACTCTGTCTCCCATAGAAATTCATTTATCAAAGCACAGTCCTCTTGGAAGGAGTTCTGGTGTGGTGCTGTAGGATAAGCACTGGACTGCTAACCACATGGTTAGTGGTTCAAACCTACTAGCTGCTCCTTGGAAACTCTATACAGGGTTGCCATGAGTTGGAACTGACTCGATGGCACTTAGCATCATGGGAGACACAAGAGTCCTGGTGTGGCACTGTAGAATAAGCAGTGGACTACCAGCCACAAGTTCAGCCATTCAAACCCACCAGCCACTCCTCAGAAACCCTACACAGCATGGCTAAGAGAACTGACTTGACCACACTTAACAACATAGGAGACATAACCTTGGTTGGTGGAAGTAAAGAGGACTTGAAAGTGATAAAGATCAAAGACTGCAGCCTTCATCTGAATTGCACTCAATGTAAAGAAAACTTCAATCCTCACAACTAGATAAATACAGTAACATCATGAAAAGACTGAAGTTGTGAAAGACTTCATTTTGTTTGGATCCACAATCACCACTCATGGGAGCATCAGTCAAGACATCAAAGGACATAATTGCATTAGGTAAATCTGCTGCACAAGACCTGTTTAAAGTGTTCAAGAGTAAACATGTTATTTGAAGACTAAGGTGTGCCAACTTAAGCTGTGGCAGTCAATCCTTTCCTATGCATGTGAAAGTTGGAAAATGAGTAAGAAGTAAGAAAGACCACAGAGGAATTGACATGTTTGAATTTATGGTGTTGGTGAAGAGTATTGAAAGTACCACTGTTGAGT